GACATGCGTTGACATACAAATGCATTTGCACTTAAAGCAATCACTACAGGAATTATCCACCACAGAACTTTTACTTCTCACTTGTACTATCTCTAGGTTTTCATGTTTTGTGTTGTTTTTACAGTTTTTTTGTGTTTATATGTTTTCTATAAACAGGAAGAATTTATAATCTTTACTAAGTTAAAAAGTGGTGTATGGATCATTGGTCTAAGCTAGGGATGCACGATATAATCGGCCCCCTATCGGTATCGGCCTGTATCGGCCTTAAAACTGAATATCGGACATCGGCCACCCCAACGATATTTAACCCGATATTTGATCAGCTTCTGAGTTTCTAAAGTCTAAAAAAAAAAAAAAATACTACTTCTTCTTCCTCAAAAACTTATTTTTTACAGACTTAAAAACTTCTATCTTCATATGCTGATATATTGCCATTTAAAAACACCATATCAATCTCTTTTACTAATGAAATACTGCTTTATGTCATCGTTATGCTACGAAATCCCCCGAAAATTCAAGAAATTTTGCCATATTTTTATATGTTGATATATTGACGCGGTATCGATCTATTTTACTAACAAAATCTCACAAGAATTTGCAAAATATCATGAGAGTTTGTAACAGAATGATGAAATTTCACAAGATTTTGAAAGTAAAATAGATTGATACCGCGTTTTTAAAAATCTATTTGATATCAGCATATGAAAATATATTTAAGTATATTATTTTTCAAAGTGTCAGAAATGGATAACAAAACTGCTATTTTCAATGACTACTTATTTTTGTCCAGCTTTAACATCGGTATCGATATCGGTTATCAGCTACATGAGTTTTAAAATATTGGCATATCGGATATCGGCCAAAATCCCAATATCATGCATCCCTAGTCTAAGCCCAATATCCAAACCATAAATGACACTGGATTCGAGTTCTGTTCTCAGCCACTTTTTTTAAACTATGACCTACTGAAACCTTGATATACCATGATACACCTCTTTGAATATTCCAAAAAAAGATTAAAAACAATCCACTGGACTTTGTTTCCAAGTTTGAAGACGTTTCGCTTCTCATCCCGGAAGATTTTTCAATTCAAAATGTCAGGAATGGCGTTGAGTTTGAGGTTTTATACTGTAGCCCATCAAGACCTTGTTTTTGTTTTGAAAACATGCAAATTGATACAGACGAAGGGGTCCACCCCTTTGGAATGGTTTTTTTTTTGGCTTCCTTTGTTAGCCTGCAATACTCCGTCTAAGTGTCTGAAAGGGGAATCGTTAAATGGGATTGTTGGCCTGGGTGAACCTGAAGGTCCTCCGCCCTGCTGCACAGGGGCTGGGGTGGCAATGATAGCGGGAAGGGATCAACTCAATTGCTGCATTTTAGTTTTTTAAAAGCTGAAATCTGAGTTTTCTTAGTCCAAAATGTGAACATTCTGGTTCTCAAAAAGAATGTCCTTTGTCCATAAGGTGTAGATGTACCGCCGAGTCTTGCCCTGAGGAGGTCGCTCTTCTGTGTTGGGCCATGCATTTGTGGAGAGGTTGTTTGGTTTCGCTAATATAAATATCAGAGCATTCCTCACTGAATTGAACTACATACACCACTCTGCTCATTTTTGGTCTGGGGGTTTTGTCCTTAGGAAGCACTAGTCCCTGTCTAACAGTCTTGAATAGTTGAATATTGTGTATTTTGTCAAGCTTAATATTAGCCTGCTGCTTTATTTCTTCCAGAAACATTTGGTGTGTTAGACATGATTGGTGTCACCAAAATGTCCCTGTATTTTAAGCATCTGACTATCACTTCAAGGTAATTTGAAGGAAGTCAAGTTTATCACTTCATCCAGTTTATGCAATGCTGCAACACTACTAGTAGTCACAACCATGTAATTTTGCCTGTAAGGACAGTAGAAAATGTTTTAAAAATTAGAAAATTAAATTATATGAGTTAATGATTAGGCATTAATTTGAAAATGGATTCGGAATTGAAAAAACCCCCTCAATTTTAACCCAGCCCTGCTGTGGGCAGTGAAGCTGTTATTCCTACAATTTCCTTGCAATATTAGGTTTGAGCATCGGTTATTTTATTTTCTTCTTAAATATCCAAACAGATACTTATTTAACAGGATGAAATTGTTGGTGCACAGGCAATAGTGGAGACTTCAGCATGATAATTATAGCAAGCATATGTTAAAACAGTTGTAGAATTAATACAATGATCTAAAATTAAATTAAAAGTCCGATCACATTCAGAATATCGTTATCTCCCTTTTATCTCCTCTTTCTTTCATCTTTTCTCCTTTTTTTCTGTTCCTTTTCCTTTCCTGTTTTACTTACATTGCACTGTCCGTAAAATCTGTAATATTCCCTGCATGAAATATAATAAAGCTATTTATGTGCATAAATCAAGCGGAACTCTATGGCGATAGCCCTACTGCTCCACTTGTGAAAGTAAAATCTGTTGGACCCTCTTTTTGGCATCAAGACAATTATTCTTATTGCCACATCGTCAGACAGGACACTGTAAAAAAAAAAGAAAAAAAAAAGAAAAGGAATTCAAACTTCTTAAAGTACTTTAAATATAAAATTATTACATACCGTTCAATAAATGATAAGTGTTTTTAATTAAGAGTAATTTTCATTTGAATGTGCTTTACTGGAGGCATCCATGTTCATGAAAGTGTACTACTGTCACCTACCGGTTTGTGACGTCACGGTGCGGTATCAGCTTTTGATCAAGTCCCAGTGCTGTATCTGGTGTTTGTCACAACGCGCTATTATACAGGTCGTCTTGAAAACATTCTTCTTCGAAATGTTGGCCACATATTTCTTGTTTTTTTGTGACATCACTGCGGGAAGATGTCAGGAGTGAGGTGTTACTATATTTTGGCAAAAATGGCCGCTCCCAGACTCAGTGATCGTAACGAAAATTATTATTTTTTTACTTATTAACTTTAAATTCCTTAAATCACCGTGAACGTAGTAGTTTTAGGTGTAGATAATGATCCATTGATTGTTCCTAGCTGACCGGACTTTTCCTTTAGGCTTCAGTAGGTGTCTATTAAATAGAATAATAAATTATGCGTTTGTTACCATATGTATAACTAGGGCTGGGCTTATCGATAAAAAAAAATGCATATTGATCGATATCGATAATTATTGAAAAGATTTGAAACCATATTTTATGTGCAGCTCTGCCTGGACTTTTTTATGATAGTGCTAAATGATTTAATTTTAATAAAGAACACAAACATAGACTTCCAATTTAATCTTTATTTAACCAACTTTTTTAACCATAACAGAATTGTTTTAAAGAAAAATAACTTAAAAGACCTGAGTTATGTTATTAAATACTGACAAAGAATTAACTAAAGTGATAAAAATAAATATAACAAATAAATGGTTCAGCTTAGATTCCTGCTTTAACCTGAGTTATTACTTTGAAGTTGCTGGCTCCTCAGCATTTTTCTCTCAATTGCTAGAACTACGTGGGAAACTGCCCAGAACTTTATATATATATTTTCCCGAAATTCCCGAAAATTCCTCGGAGGACAGCCACGCCGGGGCCTACACAGCCCCGTGGCTGTGAGTGGCTGAGATAATAAAAAAAAAAAAGTTGGTTGTGTTGTCAGACTTCGTTTTCACTGGTTCCCTACACATTTTACAGATGACTGTGGTTTGTTTTTTGTCCGACTTGCCATGACCGAAATACTGCCAAACTGGCGAACTACAAAAACCCTTCTTTGGAGAAATTTCCTCCGCCTCTCCTTGCTGCAACATCTTCATGTGCTCTGTGTTGTGGTTTGAGAAGGCGGGTCTTTATGACCGCGTGCCTGGGTCCGCGATTGCGATTGGTTGGGAGGAAGTAGTGACTAGCATAAACCTACATGCTAGGCTACAATGAGAAGGAGGGAAAACTGCGTTTATTTATCAAACTTTTATCGACACTGTTTTTTTTCTATTGCGCCACACGTCTATCGATCGATATATATCGTTATTGAATTATCGCCCAGCCCTATGTATAACCCTAAGTGGTTTCTTGGGATTAATCAGGTTCCATTTGTGGAAAGTTTTTTTCTTTATCCATCATTTCAATGTTTGTGTTTTTCTGGTCTGATTTTCTAAAAGTGTCATGGAAAAGTGTTCATGTTTGTTCATGGATTCATGGATTAAGCATGTTTCTTCATGCAATCTCTAACAGACGCCAAGCTCTTAACATCAGTGTGAGGGATCAGACCATCTGCTGCAGGACTCACTCTTCTTTGTGCTGCTAACAAATATGTGCCTGGCAGCAAATTTGAACGCAATATCATGATAAATGTATAGAAAGTGTTTGGATGAGTTGAAGTTTATTGCTGATTTTGACCCGCTCCTCCTTACCTTGTTTAACTGTTTTACACTAATAAAATATCTACTTTTTGATTGGTTCTGTTTGTTTCTAATTACTTTACTCCTGACGTTTTTATATTTATATAAGATATTTTTTTCTAGATTTAAATGGTTCACATCAGAAAAAACATTAATCTTTTAAAGACCAGGTAACTATGCTTGTCATGATTTTATCTAAAGCTCGGACCCACATGCAGTGAAGCCAAACACAAAAACTGGGATCCTGACAATGCTGATATTTTGCTATTTTTTTCCTTTGTACTTTACTCTTACATGTCTTCCATCTTTTTCTGATTGATTCAAAAGACAGATTTTGCCTCAAAACCTAGCCAAATAAAAGAAAATGGGACAGGCTAATTACCTTTATGGAGAGGAAGTAGAGGCTGTTGCACAATTTTTTTAAATCAAGTTGAAGAAAATCTGCACAAGCAAATAACTGTAATGCATTTTCTTATTTTGTCTCTCTGAGAAAAAAAAATAGAGAAAGGATACCTGCCCTTATACAGTATGTGTACATGCTGGATATAATAACTCATCTGTCCAACAATGCTTGTGTAAAATGACAACTTTGCAGATAGCCATGAAATTTTGTCTAACTTGCCGTAACTAATGTCCCCCCAGGTTGGTATAGACTTTACAGCTTCTAACGGGAACCCCAGAGAGCCATCCTCTCTCCACTACATCAACCCACTGGGCAGCAACGAGTATCTCTCTGCCATTTTAGCTGTTGGCCAAATCATTCAGGACTACGACACGTGAGTGTTGACCTCAGATTTTCTTTCCGGTTACAGGTGTTGTCAAGAGTTTTCTTGAATTGATGTTAAACACGAATGTCTTTAATTATCCTTACAGTTCTGTGTAAAAGAGTAATTTCATTAATTTAAGAAAACAGGTATGTAAACCAACAGAGGCTCCATGTGAAAAGTAAATACCCGCTTCATGTAATAACTAGGCCCGAGCAGTGAAGCGCTGCAAAGGTCTATTGTAATTGGTTTTGTTTTTGTAGCAGCAATAACTACTACAACATTTTGAGATAACGGTGTTAGTCTTCAACATCACCACGAAGAAATTTTGCCTCACTCTTCCTGACAAACATGTTTAGGTTTAGTCATGTTGAAGGGTTTTCTGTTATGATGGCAGGTTAACAATCACACTACAGATTGTGAATTTGATTCAATTCAAGGATGTGTCTCTGTTCTTATTGCAAAGTGGCTCTGCTGTGGATCATTCTTCTGTTGCAAAACCCAAAATGTCATAAGTCTTCTATTCAAACAGCAGAATCTTTTCCCTAATTTTTTGTTTACAATCAAGATATATTTTTGTAAAAGTGAGACAGAGCTTTATAATCCTGAACTCTGACCTTAGCCGTGGTATGTGAGGTCTGGGTGGTTTTAAGAGCCCCTGGTTGAGCTTTCCATGTAGATTAATATTGTAGATTAATTTTGTAGCCTCTTTTTCACTGAAAGGCACTGCCTTTAAAATCCCAGGTTTTGTATTACCTGGCTAATGTTCCACTTCCATTATCTGAAAGGCCCTTGGATAATCATGCAAATTGACTTGTGATTTGGTTGCCAAAAAATGTGAACAACACCACATAATGGAGTGCCATCACAAACACAACGTAACACACTGTAGCTGCGCACACATGGGTTTCAGTACGAACGTACTGCATCCCCCTGCTGAAAGACATAGTAAGAACATGTAAGAACAGGCCACTTATTCCGACTACAGTCCATGAAAGAGAGCCTTTCCTTGTTAACAGCCTCCAGCACCGATGGCACAAAGTCATTTGTGGCTCTGGTGGCCATGTATGCGAGCCTGTGTCCCTGGATCGCATCAAGCTGGACATACCAGTGGCTTGTCTGGCGTTCTGATTGTTGGTGTCATTCAGCCTGTTTTTGTCCCGCTTTGTTTTCTTTAGCTTGTCCCACATCTGCTTTGTGGTGGGGAAAACGTTTATTTCAGCCATACGGACTGCAATCATGGCCATCATTGTGCATCGCCAACTAGAACTTCCTCTAAAAGCACCACTAAAAGCGTCTCAAACTTATCATCCATCCAACGATTGTAGCTTCTTCTCTCATGCCCCATCATGCATTTAAGAAATTTTTTGGGTAATTCTGTATCAGAAAGCAAAGTATGATTTGCAAAGCCTGCAGCTTTTTTAAAAGCTTTGAGCGGCAGTGGAATAGGGGCTTTTGCTAGGAAGGTTAAACTGCTACATGTTTCCTCCAGTTGTTGGTTATCCACATTGTTTTGCTGCCATCCCAGTCTTAGCAATTGAAATACATTGCAAAGCAAGGCTTTCTAGGAAAAAAATGTAGTAGATGATGATTATGGTGATTAATTTTAGGCCCTGTTTATTTGTATCAATTTCCTTCAGTAAATAAATAAAAAAATCCTTTGAGAATTGTTTTTTATTTAGTTGGATTATAGTCATCCAATATAAATGTTTGTTAATTTAAAACATTTTGCTTGACAAAAAGGAAAAAACCAGTGAAATTGGTAATGTAAATTTAATGGCACTTTCCTTCATTTATGAAATCAAACTGAGTCAAAATAATAGATACAAAAAAGCTCCCAGATCCTTTAATATGTGGTGAGTTTCTTGCAGTTTTAGTGCCTTATGTTTGTCATCTAAATGGATATTTTAAAACACTTCTTTTAAAGGATTTCTGAAACACATTTAAGTTGAGTCTACACATTTCTAAGATGATTGAGGTCTAAGATTTGAGAACAGTTAATGCTAGGCTGCTTTAACCACTTTAAAACAAATTTGATGACATTGAGAATATTTATCTGAGAACATCCCATTATGCTTTAGGTGTTCTGGTGAAACAAGGTTTATAATAGAATAGAAATCCTTTAATCATGTAAGACGATAAGACAAGCAGAGAGAAGAAAGCTTACATATACATCAGAAAATAATATAAAAACAAATCAAAAGTTTGTCTGTATAGCAGAAGGTAGAAACATAGATTCAGAATAAAAAAAGGCAAAATAAGGTAAAGTTAAGAAAATTTTAAAAGAACCAAAGTTAAAACAGCCCTAGCTGATAAGGCTTTAACCCATGGTGAATCCTCGCTCATTGGGTCATTGGCAGGTTGTCCTGTTATCTTGACAGAACTACTTTATAGTATTCTCAACACTGCTTATTCTTTTTTAATCAGAGCTTTGTGGTGCCCTATCAAAGATTTTCACCTTATTGTCCTAAAGCCACTTTGGCACTGACTTGGTGATATACTGAGGTTTATTGTCCATTTGGACGACTGAGCTATACCTTTCTGGTTAACGTCTTTAATAGTTGCAATGCACCTCCACCGTACACAATCGGCAAGGTACCTCTATGTTTTTTACGATTGTAGGCCTCAAATTTGCTTTAGTCAATATATTCTCTATAGTCCTTTGCTTTTTTTGTAGGCTAAAACGCAGCGTCTCACCTTAACATGAAACACATCTTTTCACTGAACAGTATGAGCACTTGAACCTGCCATGCTGTTTGTTTTTACGTCAGCTTATTTGAACATAGCTTGTTCAGGTAGTTGGAAAATTAACCTAAGCTTGAACTTGTGGAGGTCTACAGTTCTTTTCCTAATGTCTTGAGGGATTTAATTTCATTTTCATTTTACTTTGATATCAAATAGTTAAAGATGTATAGCAAAGATTCTGTCTTAAAATATATTCACAATGGTACTTTAGACCAACTTAGATGTTGTAAATCTTCTCTGTAATCTACTGTAAATTTACTCAGTAGCTGATGACGACAAGCTTCTATATCTGGGCTTTTTTAAAATGGCTTTAAAGGCACAACAATATAAATATAAATAAATTCTGAACTTGAAGCAGTAATATTTATCATAGTTTTACATGTATTATGGCAAAATAGTATATAAATAATTTGCTATACAAAATATGATAAATGGAGTTGCTGCCTTTGTCATTATCCAGTGTTTATTTCATGAACAAAAAAGAGTGAAAAGAAAAAAAAATGAACTAATGTTCTGATCTGTTGTCATGGTTTCCTCCTCAGTGACAAAATGTTTCCTGCGCTTGGATTTGGAGCTCAACTCCCACCAGACTGGAAGGTACACACGTGTGGATTGTGATGGATTTTTTACGTATGTGTGTTAAAGACAAACATGCACGAGCAACGAGGGCGGTATAGCAGCAATGCATTTACAGCTGAAACAACCTGGTTCCAGACATGCACCTCACACACACAGATAAAACTGTACACATTCTACATGCATATTCAGACTATTACACAACTGTCAACCGATCTGTGTTGCCATGGTGCTGAGATGAAAAGGACAAAGAAGCCATAGACAGAGACAGGATGGGAGGGAGCTGAAAGTGTGGGTTTCTTAGCAATAATCTCCAGTTTGATGAAAATGTACATCAGTTGATGTTCATCTTGTTTCTGCAGGTTTCCCATGAATTTGCCATCAACTTCAATCCCACTAATCCCTTCTGTTTTGGTGAGTTTTTTCCTTTTATGTGACCCTGAGGCATCTTTAGATAATACATTTCTACCTGCTCTATATCAGAATGTGGAGAAAAAAACTTATAATAAGTAAATCTTTTTACCATTACATTTAAATCACATTTACAAAACATTTCAACCTTCCAGCAATACTCTGAAAGCATTTGTTTGTATCTATCTTTGTTCATTTTCCTAGCAAATAAATGTGGATTCCGACTAAACAAGAAAACAGTCTAGTATTGAACCTTCCTACATCAGTGGAATCCTTTCAAAAGAAAACAGGAAAAACACTGTGATTAAAAAAATAATGAATATAATGTAAGCAGGGAAAAGGAACCCCAAAGATCACTGAAACAAAACTGACATCTTGACATCACTAAGTCTTCATAACGCGTCAACTCAACTTTAGTCACATCTAGAGATGCGCTGATCGGATTCCTGGATTGGATTTTTGCTCTGACATTGACTAATTAGCGGATATGATATAAAAATTAATAAATAAATAAATAAATATAAATCCAATTCAGTACACTTTACATTAACTGTTATTTGTTTCTTTTTGCTGCTTATTTGTTAATAAATAATATAATGTAAATATATATCTATGTTAAATTGTCTATCTTTTTAACAACCTTTTTCACTTATATGACAAAATACATGGTTCATTCTTTCAACAGTTGAATCGGATTGCTATCAGATGTCGGCTGATTTGCTCATCCCAGGTATCAGTACTGTGCCTGAATGCGTTCATTGAACATGAACTGAACGTACTGTATTACTGCCTGATGAACGCTATTGTGAACTCGTTCATTCTGGTGTCTGTGAACGGCACGCTCTCTCAGTTCAACTTCGTTCAATAGGTTGCCAAATTTCTATAGAGCCCTCCAGGCGAAACCCCGGCTAAATTACACCATAAACAGGCCTTAATATGTTGCGGGAAAAACACCCAATCTGGCAACACCAGCAGTGTCGTAGCCTACAGCCGTGTGCGTCATCAAAACAATTGCAGCGTGGAAGCCACAGCAGCATGGAGGCGACCGTGGACGCGACAAAGCAGCAGTATAATCACTTAATACAGTTTTATGACCAGGTGGTCGGTGAGGATGTTGGCAACAATCTTATATTTCTCTGCAAACTTTGCCCGCTGGCTTTCAGTAAAAAAATCCGCACTTAAACCTGCCTGGTATAATTTTCCAAGATTCCAGTATTCCTTTTTAGTATGTACTGAAATGAAATTTCAAATGGAAAAAAATATTAAAATAAAAAAAAACATTTGCATCTTAAAGACTACTTTCCTGTTTTTCTTTTAATAATTCCTCATAAAAAAGACCATTCAAGCAGCACATTTTTCCTGATGTTTTTGAGAATATACTGTAGGGGTGAAAGCTGCAGCTGCTACTAGTGTGAAGTGAATGGACAGCAACAAAGCATTAAAGCAACAATGGGGAAATGCTGTCCCCTCAATGCTAATGTAAACCCTGGTTGGATAAGGATTCAAAACTGGATATGAAGATGAAATCTGACGCACAGTTTCAGTGTTACAACTGATAAAATAATTGCTGTCTTTGGTTCTACAGTAGGCTATGGTGTAATTGAGCAATATATGAAACAAAAAAAAGAACTATGAACTAGTTCATTTTTTGGAACTGTGAACTTAGTTCAAAATTTTGAATTATGAACTATGAACTGAACTAGTTCATTTTAAAATGTGTGAACTGAACTTTGAACTAGTTCACGTAGAAAGAGAACTTTCCCAACACTGCCAGGTATCAGTAATGAAATGGATAAAAAAAAAAAAACATAATCGGTGCATCTCTAGTCACATCCCTGGTAGATTTTGCCTATCTGAATAGTTCTTCATTGGACTGAAATCTGGTGTCTGTAAAGATCACTGGACTACAATAAACTGTTTGGTTGATACTAGATTAGATAAGATAAGTAATGTAATATAATAATTAAAAAAAATCAGAAGATGGATGTACTGCAGTTATTAAAGAATAGGGAAGGTCAGTTGGTTGACTAAATGTGTAAACGATGCTGATTTGACTATAATGGCCTAGCCCAGGGGTCGGCAACCCGCGGCTCTGGAGCCGCATGCGACTCTTTAGCGTTCCCCTTGTGGCTCCCTGGAGCTTTTTCAAAAATTTATGAAAATAGTTTTTTTTTGTTTTGTTTTAATATGGTGTGCAGGAGGTCAAAAAAAAAGATGTTTTCCAATGCTGTAAACATTTGTATAATAAATAAATTTAAACAATAATTTGCGTCATAGCCATATAGCTCAGTGGTCATAACTTGGAACCAGCACTGCGCAGTGCCAGGCAAACAAAGCTGCTGGAGTGTCTCGGACCATGGATCACAAAGGGGAAAAAAGGAAGATAGCTGATGAGAAAAGAGGATTCAAATAATGGACCGAATCATTTTCTTTCATTATCAATGTGGAAGGATTGCCTGCATTTTTGCTTGGTAATGAGAGGTTGGCAAAAAATAAAAATAAAAATTTAGAAAGGCATTTCCAGGGAAGGCTAAATATGCAGCCGATCACCAAGCTGGGAGGAAGAGAAAAGGTGTGATTGCAGAACTTCTGGATAAATTGCTCTGTTGCTCCCAACAGAAACACTACCACCATAGAAATATTCCTTTATTGTGTTTCTATCATTTCATCAATGCAACAAAACTTAAACTGCGCGGTGAACGGCGGTTAAGCGGCGCGCGATGACACAGCGTGCGATGGGAGCGTTCACTGCTCGTCCCTCACCTCATGCTGCTATGTGACATTTGCTTGAGGATAAACATTTAACCATGAATGCTTATTATATATTTAAGCCCACAAAGTCCTTTTCTATAGTGGATAATACGCTTAGAGTCCGTGTTGCCATAAGAGGCTTATATAATACTTTTACATTTTTGCGGCTCCGGACAGATTTATTTTTTGTTTTTTTGGTCCAATAGGGCTCTTTGAGCAGTTTGGTTTTCCGACCCCTGGCCTAGCCTGTGCAGAAACAATACACCATCAGCAGCTTCGACTACTGACATAAAGCAGCATTTGTATTTTTATCTGGTTTGAACTATATTCTAATCATCTGAATGTTGCAGCAGAGAATAAGACTCTTGGCGACATCTTCTCAATCTGTTATTGTCTAGTTTTAATCAGTTTTTATAAATCCAAACCTCAGTTTCCTGTTTTTAACTGACAGAGGCTTCCTGTTGTTTTAGTCTTTCTGTTTCAATGTTATTTTGCATAAACTTTTTGTAACAATCATTTGAATAATTTTTTTGTTCTAATGTGTCAGAACTTTCACATCTATGAGTCATTTTCATCCTATCCAATTCAGTAGCAGTTTACCAGATAATTTTTCTCTATCTGACTCTTTTCTATAAAACTGAGTGTTTTTTCTTTTAAATCCCCAAAAATCTTTTTTTATTTCCTCATGTTACCCCTCAGCAATTTCTAACACAATGTCTATTGCTAAGTGCAGCCAGCTACTGCCATGTGATGAGTAGGATCCAGATATAAAAAGTTATGTTCATGATATCTTAAAAAATGTCATATTTGTTAGTTATTACAAACTACATTTTTTTGTATTGATGCTGCGCTTCTATTTATGGTTTTGTTTGATAGTTTTTAAAATGTGACATTTAAATGTGTTACACTAAAGATAGTTATTTGCTGATGTATTCCTTTTAGCCTTCAAAAATGTTATTAAAATATACGTATTTAATGAGAGTTCAGCATAAGAAAATGTTGGGCTGATAATAGACATATGTGCTGATTTGAAGCCAGCCATGTTTAAAGGTCAGGACCTTCACTTTGGTGTTCTTCAGACATACAGTTTGTTAGATCCTCCTCCTCCAAAGCTGCCCTTTTATAAAGATGTCAGTAAAATTCTCAAATAAAGTATGCAGTCTTTTACTTTAGATTTGAAAAAGTAAAATGTATATAGCATACATTTTATTTGATGCATTTTATGTTCATTTTTAAATCTCAGTGTATTTCAAAAAGAAAATGTCATCAAAGATATTATGTTATAACATTACAGTTCATTACAGTTTATTTGTATACATTCAAATAAACACGTGTGTTCCTGTTGACAGTAAATACTCACTTTCATTTTGCACCACTGCATAAGAGCAACTTCATTTTAACATGAAGAAACCTCCAGCAGTAACAGGCTCACTGTAACTGGCCTTCTGCTGAGGCCGACCGAGTGTTAAACGAGACAAGAGAAGATATGCAACAGAAATATAGAAGCACTGATCCATAAATACTTTCCTTGTTAGAAAAGGTAATGGTAAGGTAGCTCCATAAGTGGCTCTGTATAGAAAAAGAAACACTTAAGAAGAAGAGCTCTGAGCCAGTTTTCAATAATAATAAAATTATAATAATTGAACTTTCTTGATCTCACATTGGAGAAATTTACCTCTGCATTTAAGTCATCTCCTAGGGAAGCAGTGGGCTGCCATCATGGGGATCCCACGGAGCAGTGTGTAGTTAAGCGTCTTGCTCAACGGCCCAGAGTGGCGGTCTGTGGGAGTAGGGCTCGAACTATGCCAAGCCCTATGCCTTTACCACTAGGCCGCCACTCTCCAAAATATTTCATGTCAAGGTGATGAAAGAGAGCAAATACCCAAGTCACAGTAAAAGTGGAGCCCATAGCTATGTCTAGGTCAAAAATGGGACTAAACACAAAAAAATAGGCCTAACTCTATCATCTATAATGGAAGTAGTTGATGGCAGCAGCCCAGCTGATATTTTTCTCAGGATGGTGCCACAGCTAAAGAGCAACAGACCGGATGAAGCTACCGTGATGAGAAAAAGCAGTGGAAACATAAACTATAGGTGTAAATAACAAATAAAGCAGAATGATGAAAAGTGGTCCCTGTGTCTTCCAGCAGTCTAACCCTATAGCAGCATAAGCATAGAGATAGCTCAGGATAACCTGAGCCACTCTAACTCTAAGCTTGATCAAAAAGGAAGATTTTCAGCCTAGCATTAAAAGTAGACAGGGCGTCTGCCTCACGGACTAAATCTAGTAGCTTTTTCCACAGTGGAGTGTTGGCCTAGTGGTTAGTGTGCTTGTGCTCTGAGAAGGTTGCAAGTACCATTCAATCCCCACAGCCTCCACTCTGGGTTCCTGAGCAAAACCCTTAACCCCACACTGCTCCCCGGGGGATACACATTGGTAGCCCACTGCTCCCCAAAGGGATGTGTCAAAATGCAGATAATGAATTCCCCCATTGTGGGACAATAAGTGATGTATGTATAGATATAATGTAATGTAAAGGGTTTTACATTACATTATAACTAAATGTTCTAACCCCCATTCTTCTCTCTAGGAACCACTAGTAAACCTGCACTTTGGGATCAAAGTGCTCTGTTAGGAACATAAGGAATGATCAGATCTCTGATATAGAACAACTGGTTACCATAGTTATTTAGGTCTTTGTACGTGAGAAGGAGGATTTTATCTATTCTTGATTTTACAGGACGACAGTGAAGGGAAGAAAAAATAGGAGAGTTATGATCTCTTTTTAATTTTGATCAGAACTCTGGCTGCAGCATTTTGGATCAGATGAAGGCTCTTTTTCGAAAATGGCAATGACTGTTTAAATTTAGCTCAGAATAGCAGATATATTTCCAGAGGAGTTTTTATTTAATTTTCTCATGATTAATCTTTGTTTTCAAAAACAAAAAGTGACTACCAACCCTATTATAAGCCTCTTTATTTGTTGTGGGTATTTTCCACATTTCTAAGTCTCTTGTTTTGCCCTTTGTCTCTCTACTTTTTCAGGTGTGGAGGGCATTGCCCAGGCTTACTCTGCCTGTCTCCCTCTTATTCGCTTCTATGGGCCTACAAACTTTGCTCCAATCATCAACCATGTTGCTCGCTTTGCCGCTCAGGCGCTTCAGCAGGAGAAAGCAGCGGTGGGTACCTATTGTTTTGTATTAGCAAATGTACAAATACTCAGGAAGGATTTTAGGATTAATTCTGTGCATCTGCTGTAGAAAAAAGACTCTGCTTCCTGCAGAGAGGTGTATTTCCCGACTGCTTGTGAAACTAGAAACATGAATATCTCTAAACATGGCCAAACACCTTTCCAGTCTGACAGTTTTCTTCTCTGTCAACACACTTGTGTATCAACCAGCTACCTTCTGGCTGATTAAAACAAGAATTGCATTGTTTGTTTTCAAAATTAGATTAATGTTTTATGTTCTATGTATGGAGAACGGTTTGGCTGAATGGTGCATTTCTGCAAATATTTCATCATCAACATGAATTTTCATTTTTGACTTTGACCAAATAATTACATCACTACCTTGCTATTTTTTTTTACACTTACTTATGATGAAATAACCTCAGGGCTACATCCTATACTTAAAATAAAAAATGTATTAAGGAATAAGCGGTAAGCCTTTAAATACACTTCCCGTTTTGACATCAGTACATATTTAATGCATGCATTGACTTCAGTCATTGATCATTTCTTTTAAGGGGCAAAAGTTCTTGGACTGCAGTGCTAAAATTATTGAGCTGACAAGAAGACCATGTTTCCTCTCTGGAAACACATCAAGCGTGTCTAAGCATGTTTTTTTTTTATATGATCAAGAAAAAAAGTATATGATTTTCTGATATTTTTTATTAGCTGGTGTGACTGCTTACTGGGTGAATTTAGATGTCTTGATAAAGGTCAGGTTGATATCTGACATCCACCGTCAATTTCCGTAATTCCATTTATTTTTAAAAAATCAACTTCTGTGACTTCATTTTAATAGAAAATCCCTGTAGCTACTTCTAAAGTGTTTTCTAATAGGTTTTTGCTTTACAAACATTATTATTATTGATTATGTATTTAGTCTGTCACTCATCTCTGCAGTAAGTTTAAAAAGTTCACAGGCTGATGATATTTTGTTTGTCTGTGTTCCTTTATCTCATTCTTCATGGTTGAATTTTCGCTGCATTTATAACTCAGTTTAAACAGACTTTTCTTCTCCAATCCACTGAATACAGAATTATGAGAGCCATAAATGCATTTTGTATAAACCTCTCTTTTGTATCTTCCTTGCTTTGTTTCCTTTGTTTTTTATTTAATCTGATAACCAGACAGGTTTTGCCTAAGGGCGAATCACATTAAAGAAAAGCAAACATGACACTGTTTTGTTTACTAGCCAGGAACAGTAAAGCTGTCAGTAGTGCACTTTTGTTAGTGGAGTACTAATTTAGCCACTCTCATTGCTTTGGGGACAAACAAGTCTGTGCATCTGTTATCTCCTGCTCTGGGCGTATGAATTGAAGTGGCTGTCCTATCCTGTTCTTTGTTTTATTGCTGTGCAGCTGAGACACTGACTAGGCTTTTTATATATATTTTTAGCCAAACAGCAGGATTAGGAAGCATCATTTTTTGTCTGGGATTCATGGGATGATTAAATCTGTCAGTTGAAGTCTGCCCAAGGCTTCACTCCCATATGAAACACAAAAGACCAACATGTAACCTAACTGTGTGATACATCTGCTCAGGTTCAGCTCAGGATGGATTGTTACACATAGTTATATGCTCTGAGACATGATCTCTAGCATATCTGCATTCATGAAAGACTGCAGAAATAGCTGCCTGTTGGGTAAAGAATCTTGCCTCAAAGCAGGTAGAACAAGGCTGTCTCATCTTAGGTCTGCCAGGGCTGGTGTCATTCATGTTGTAAATGTCTCCATGGTCCAACAAAACTAATTATAATGTGTTAACTTTTTGCCTGTAATCATATTGATAACCACAAGGAATATAACAAATAATAGTAATCACTCAACATGTTCATATCATTGCACGCCTGCTGTATGTAGGGGAGTTCTTGTATGGGGTGCCTCATATTTACCTGTGTAAAAGAAGATCATTGGCTGCTGCAGCATCTGTAGGTAAATCATGGGTTTGTGACAACCTGACTCATCAGGAATAGGGTTAAAGCTATTAACAGCTCCTTCCCTCTCCCACTAGGTGGTGTAGCTACTGTTCCTTCAACTTTTATCTTGCAAACTGTATCCTTTGGTATTTTCTGGAAATTTCCTTCCTTCTGTTTTTGTGCATAGCAACCAGGGTGTGTCTCAGCCACACCTGATGTAAACAAATTATTTCTAAAAAAGTCACACAGAAGCCAAGCAACAAATAGAGAGGAAATTAAAAATAAAGTCCTGGGTGTCAGGCCCTGGTGGAATAGGTAAACCTACATGGAGAATTATAATATTATGATGGATGGATGGATGGATGGATGGATGGATGGATGGATGGATGGATGGATGGATGGATGGATGGAGTATCTTTTGTTGGCTGGATTAATCTTAATCTCAGTAGCTATGATGTCATCATCACTACCTGAGTCATCTTACTAGGGATAACTGATAAAAGATGACATTTAGCATGTCCCTTGTCAAGCACATTTCATCTCTTGATTCGGATTCTGTGACATCCGCCTGACATCCCTGCAGATATGTGACTCGCTCAGAAGCTCTGAATCTAGACACTTTGAACAAATAGCAAAAAGTCCCCCTCTGGTAAAGCAGCATGTCTGCTGAATGTATCTGGATAGAGCACAGTAGCTGGGTATCATTATGCTCCCACGGTGCTTTTTGTCCCTAATTGTACCCTGTCACCCTGTGGGGAACAGAGGATTGTACTCGTCTGTGTGATGTGTGCCAGAACGCTTTTGTCTCTGTAAGGAAATGAATGCAGACCCTTTTCTTGTTTTCTATTACAGTGAGTTCAAACATAAGAATGAGTAACACACAATGACTGAAGGCAGCTGTAGTGTATGTGCTCCTGTTTTGGTATCACAGTGAGGACCATTTCTCTCATTTAAGGACAGTTTATATCAAAGTGAGGACATTGGGATGGTCTTTTCTTCCTTTTTTCTAAGGGTTAGGTTTAGGACTAAGGTGTGAGTGGAGTCTATGTTAAGTTTAGGGTTAGTTATGCACTATTAATGGTTAGGTTTAAAGTTACAGTCAACAGGGCATAGAAAAGGTTGAAAATCAATGGGAGTCAACTCATGGATTGTGTGTATGGACGTGTATTAGGACGTCCTCCTGGGCTTGTGTTTGGATCAGTGTGTGCTGGTGAAGGTTTTTTGGTTGGTTTTAGACTGCACGGATATGCCGCTACTCAGCACTGCTTCTCTGATTATCAGAGAACCTGTGACTAAATACAGCATGAACTTGCATAGAGATGCTCCTGCTGTTAGACACACACACACACACACACACACACACACACACTGTTGGCCAATGTGGCCCCTGCGTGTCCTGGTGTGTGGATGACCCTGTGTATTTGTGTGATAATGATCCTCTAATGAGCGCTGCAGCTATCACATTAATGAGACAGGCTTCAGAGTCCTCCCTGTGCTGTGTGTGTCTTTGTCACATAGACGTGTGACTTTCTTTCAAGTAAAGACAGCTTCTGTTTTCACTTCTGGTCTTATCATTAGACCTCAGTTTGTGTTCAAGAGCAGCTGATGTCTGCTCATGTTTATGTCAGAGTCAACAGAAATACATCCCAGATGATGATTCATTAATGGACAACGGTTGAGGAAGTTTATTGCTTTAACACACTTTGACATGACTTAATGCATGACTTTTATTTGGACAGTTAAAAAATAAAGGTGCATTTAAGAATGTTTAGCCTTAGGCCCCGTCCACACGAAGCCAAACCCTGGCCTAAACGCACAAATTCTTCACCAAACCAGTCTCTCATCCATACGAAGCCGGCGTTTCGGGGGTCTGTAAACGATCTTTTTTTTATTAATCCTTCAGAGTGGGAAGATTTTGAAACGCCGTTTTCGCGTTTCCATCTTTAAGCTCTAACCGCATTTTTTTTCTTACACGCATGCGTCATAGCGTCGCCTCTAAACACGCATGCGCGACACAGTATCACAACAACAATGGCGTCGTACTGTGTTGAATGGTTGCTGCTCATGCTACTCACCCTGCTGTCGGGCTTACAACAGAATCTTCTTCTTCTGGAATATCTCCAGGAAGAACAGAGCAATATCGACGACATAGTTCAGCACCTGAATTTGACTGAACCACGAAAATTGACCCGCAGGGCAACCATGTATAAATATTAGTGCGCATGACCAACATTTCGTCGCCTATTTTTGCTTTGGCACCACAGCGCCACTTACAGGCCTGGCATACATTTTGCAGTGTTTTCATGCATTCGTGTGGACGATCACATTTATTTTACGTCTCCGTCTTTACGACAAACGTTCTGGAAAATATTAGTGTTTCGTGTTCGTTTTGACTTCGTGTGGACGGGGCCTTATAGTGCAAAATAATGGTGCACATAGGCAGTAACAGTTTGGTTGTATACTTTTAAGTTTACATTGATTAAAAAAACAAAACAATGTTAGCAGTGCAAAATCATGGTGCAGAATGGCAATAAAGTTTAGTTTTGTGTATATGTATTGTGATGTTAAGAGTTCAGCAGATGAACAGTCTGATGGCAAGAGGGGAAAATGCAGTGGAGCCTCTTCCAGATTGCTGCATCTCCCTGGAAGGGCTGCTGTTGAATTCAGCCCAGGTGTTTGGTTTGGAGAGGCCTTTAAATTTACTGAGTTTACTTTTTGCACAAGATGATAATAGACAAACATTCTTATTATTTTTGCTTTAAAATTTATTTAACCTTTCGTTTCCGCACCTGTCTTTCCTTCCCTTGTGTCTTCCCCTGTTATCCATTTGCAGCAATACTTCACTCTCCTCATCATAACAGATGGAGTCATCAGTGACATGGATGAGACACGCCATGCCATTGTTCAGGCCTCCAAGTTCCCAATGTCCATCATCATTATTGGTGTTGGTAACGCAGACTTTGCTGCCATGGAGTTCTTGGATGGAGATGCCAGCGTCCTGAGGTCCAACACAGGAGAGGAGGCGATCCGGGACATCGTGCAGTTCGTCCCATTCAGGGATTTCCGTAATGTGAGTAATGGCTAAGAGCTCTTTCTGATTTTCTTCACGTTTTTTGGCTGCTTACATTACCAAAAATTGAAATCTCAATAGATAATTTTTTTCTTAAAATAAGTTAATTTTTTCTTGAATTGTGGAGCTAAGTGAAATACTTTGCAACTGGTACAAGACAATTGACATTTAAAAAAACACAATTGTATTGTCTTATTTCAAATTATATTATCTAATTATCTTATTTTAAGAGTAAAAGAACTCCATTGGCAAATAAGCTTATTTACCTGCTAAAATTAAGGATAAATACATGTAATTTAAAAAATTTGTACTTACTTTTAGATCATTTTTGCTGTGTACCATAAGGTGGGCCGGTCTTTTTAAAGTTTTCAGCTGATAAAACAGAAGAAGCCATGGGCTACTGCATCAGGCTTTTCAGAATTAGGACAATTAATAGGCGTTTTGCTCACATATTTGCTCCAAGTATGGTTTCTATATGTACTCATTGAACTATACCAACTTATTACTAAGTGGTATTGTCTCACAATGAACACTTTAGATTTTTGCTACTCTCCTGAAAATAAAAAAAAAGCTTATTAGAAAAAAAAGCCAATTTGAATGACAGTACTTTCTTTTCTTTGTAGAAGTGAAAAATAAAAAAGCCTATTTGTTTCTAAAAAGTCAGCTGTTAATATTCTAACATATCATGGTGGGGTAGAAGTTGGTTGAGGAACCAAATACAGAGATGAGGGAGGCAGAGATGAGTTCTTGCAAGTTTAATGAAATCAAAAAGGCAACAGAAAAAAAATCCAAGAACAAAATACAGTAAACCAAAAACCATGAGAATATGGGGAAAACATACATGGGGAGTCAAGTAACAACAAGAAATCAGCAACTAGGAACTGCAGAGGTGGAGTATATATGGAGAACAAAACAAATAACGGTCCAATGAGCTGATGTGGAGCAGGTGTGAATAAAAAGTAACCAGAAGGGAGCTAGGGGAAAGGAGGCAACAGAGAGTTACTCAAAAAAAATGCAAACAGCTTAAATATAACACAGAATGGAAAATAAACCAAAGATCAACAAAACAAAATAACATAAATCATTTTTAAACTCAGTGGCTGCTCAGTGGAGCAGAGGGTAACACTGCTGCCATGCAGCAAGAAGGTTCCGGGTTCGATTCTGATTCCGTTTGCATGTTCTTCCTGAGCATGCATGGGTTCTCTCTGGATACTCTGGCTTCCTCCCACAGTCCAAAAACATGATTGTTAGGTTCATTGGCTTCTCTAAGTTATCCTTGTGAGTGTAAGTGTGAATGGTTAGATGTCCTGTTTGTCTCTCTGTTGCCCTGTGATGGACTGGCGACCTGTCCAGTGTGTACCCCGCCTCTCACCCGCAGACAGCTGGAGATAGGCACCAGCACCCCTCGCAACCCCAACAAGGATAAAGCATACGGAAAATGGTTTGACTGAATACTCAGAAGTCCAAAAGGGAAATATCGTAACACAACATGCAAGTTATTGACACAGGACTTTTACAGAAACTAACCCCTTTGTTTTTTTGTGTGTGTTTTTTTAATGAATATAATTACAATGATAAAAGAAAATACAGCTTGGTGAAGAATCATGGAGGTCTATCAACTCACCTGTGCAAATGATCAGTCTTTAAGGTCATGACAAGCACAAAACAGGCTTTAATCAGAGGCAACTGGACTTTTGCTCAGTTTTTTCTTTTGTCATTAGTGCTACTACATTGTGCAAACTCAGTGCACATAGAGCATTAAAAAAAATGAGGGAAATGCTAAAACAATATAATGTTTTACCTTTGTATTTCTGAATATTTCTTAGGTTTTCCTAGGAATTGCCCAAAGAGCCAAATATGCATTTGGAGCTGCAGGTCTCAGCCCCCATATGGCTTTATTGTGGTTGCAGCCACAGTGGTTGAGCTGATATTGTTAAAGTATTGAGATTATTCTTAGTGATTGTAGTTATTGATGAAAGGGTTTTAAGATCCAAATCCGTAACAGAAAGCAACAACTTTACTTGGTAATTTTCAGAAAAACTTGACTTTTACTTTTTTCATGGCACTGAAGATTAGCCTTCCCTGCATCTAATTTATCTGAAAACCATAGACTATGGTCGACTACAGCTCAGAAATAAGGTAGCAGCAGTAAAGAAACAGGGATGAACCAGAATGAAAACTAGAAGCTTGTTCATAAAAGGTTATAGGAAGAATTTCTAAAGAAATATGAAAGAAGTACGTATGTGGTCTGAATTTTAAAATCTTTACACAATAATTTAAATATTAAAAAACACCTTTTTAAATGATGGAGCATTTAAAAATAAACATGAACAACAGTACCTTCAGTGGGGCTTTATGACAATTTCACCAACTAAAGTTTTGAATTTGTAAAACAATTTTTTTCTTAGTTTTAACTGTGTTTTTACTTAATGACTCATGTCCTACTGCCCTGCGCGTCAAGGCAGCCTGTTGCTTCACGTTTTGTGTTTTCACGCACACAGCACACTTGGAGTTTAGAGAGTCTGCTGTTTGAGGGTTTCTGCTTGGTTATCTTGCTCTCAGCAGAGACGCTGCAAACAAATGGCAGGCTGATGGGTTTCTGAGCTGCGTTTATGTTAATGAAGGTTTGTACATGTGTGCCGCAGGTGAGCAGAGATTTTGGAGCACGCTCATTTTCAGGCTGTCTGTAGGAAGACTCATTAGTGCATTGTAGGGTTTTGTTTTGTCTTTTTCTTTGTAAGTTTTTGCATGAGTGTGTGTGTGTGTGTGTGTGTGCGTGGGCTGTCTGTGGGCGAACTAACTTCCAGGGTGGTGGGAGGAACAGACAATGTTTACTGGCTTCATTCCAGGCTGTTGGTGGGAGGGCGAGAGACGGAAACAAAATGAACTGAAAGAAAGGGGCAGGAATTAATCTGAGACAGGAAATGAAGAAATGTGAAGAAAGGTCTTTTACTCCCACACTTACTCCTAATAATTTAGAGAAGAAAGAGAGTTTGTTTTTTACTATCGCTCATGGTACTTTTTTTTTCTCAAGTAATGGCTATAAAAATGGGAAGTTTATGAACTTTAGGAATTCAGATTCTCTGGGCCCTGTTTCACCAAAGCTGAATTCAGAACTCCCAGGAAAAAGATAAAACCTGACTTGACTTTCAATTAGATTCAGTTTATTTATATAGCACCGATTCACAACACAAGTCATCTAAGGCACTTTACAGTTCACCAGATCATACAGTCAAACTGATTTCATTTTTTTTATCTAAGGAAAACCAGTTGATTGTATTGACTCATCGACTCGAAAGCAATCCCTCACACTAAGCATGCTTGTAGCGACAGTGGAGAGGAAAATGTCTCGTTTAACAGAGAGAAACCTCCAGCAGAACCAGGCTCAGTGTGAGCGGCCATCTGCCGAAGCTGACTTGGGTTCAAGAAGACAGAAGCAGGGATACAAAAAGCAGCTGTAAAAGGCGGCCCTGTCCAGGAAACACACAGCCAGGCAGACGAATGAAGAGAGCACATCCAGCCAGTCACAGTCAGAGAAACAGGATTTCACAGAAAAACATAGGCCGATCTCCAACATCTACAAACAAAGGTGTTGATGGCAGCAGCACAGCTGATATTTCTCTCTAGGATGGTGTCACAGCCAAACAGGAACAGACGAGGCAAAGCTATTATGAGAAAAAGCAGAGAGAGCATAACGTTTAAACTCACAGATTCTGCAGTGGGAGAATAGAGATAGAATGTGGTAGAATTATTAAAAAGTGGTCCCTATGTCCTCCAGAAGTCTAAGCCTATAGCAGCATATCTATAGCGATTTCTCAAGATTACCTGAACCACTCTAACTATAAGCTTGATCATAAAGGAAAGTTTTAAGCATACCCTTAAAAGTAGACAGGATGGCACAGACTAAAACAGGTAGTTGGTTCCAGAGGAGAGGAGCCTGATAACTAAAAGATCTGCCTCCCATTCTACTTTTAGAAATTCTAGGAGCCACTAGTAACCCTGCAGATTGAGAGCGAAGTGCTCTGTTAGGAACATAAGGAACAATCAGATCTCTGATATAAGATAGAGCTTGGCCATTTTTTTGGACTCATCCTGATCAATGCATCATGGCTTCATTTGTTGTACAAAGACCATGCCAGACTCCACATCTGAAGTTACATAAAGCCAGGTGTAAGTAATATATATATATATATATATATATATATATATATATATATATATATATATATATAAGTAATATATTAACAAATATATAAGAAAGGGAAATTAAATTAAATGGTCAACTATCTTTTTTCTATAGTTTTCGAAAGGACTTTGGACTACATCAATTAGCCTGCTTCAAACGGACACATGTCTTAAGAAAATGTCTTTGATCACAACAATTGCATTTTAACGTGAAGATTTTTTATTATTATTACTTAAAATCTGCATGTATGAAAATTATATATACTTTCCTTTGATCTGATGAGGTAATCGCCTATTGTTTGCACCCAGAGATGAAGAAGCAGAAATGTACAGAAGGTGGCTATATATATATATATATATATATATATATATATATATATATATATATATATATATATATATATATATATATATATATATATATATATATATATATATATATATATATATATATATATATATACAAATTTTAAAATGTCATATCATTCAATTGTATGTAGCTTGATCTTCCCTGTGGATGCTAATGAATCATCATCACATCATCACTGTAGCATGATGCTGCTACTACCATTTTTCACTTTGGGGATTGTAGTTTCATTGTGATATGTGCTGTTAGTGTTCCTTCATATGCTGTCCATTCTGTTCTGTAGGCACTGCGTCTTTTTCACTAATCCTCTATGAGGTACTGATGAATATATACATTTTGTTTTTCAACAATCAGGGCATATGCATTATGTAATAAGCTGATTAGAAGTTGAAGGTTTTTGACTACCTCTAATTACCAAATATATGTTTCTATTCATACTTTGAAGCTTATGTTTTAAGTATGTTACCTAAAAAAAAAAATTTACTTGACTTCATTCCTGAATTTAGCCAGAAGATCTCACCAAATATAATGTGCAGCAACATAATGTTTGGCAATTTTTTCTTCCCCTTAGGCACCGAAGGAGACACTTGCCAAATCGGTCCTGGCTGAGCTTCCTCAGCAGGTGACGCAGTACTTCAAACAGCGAAATGTACCGCCCATCAATCCAGCACCAGAGTGAGACAGCCCGAGGTCCAGAGTGTATTCACTGTACAATAACACGACAGATCCTAAAAATGTTCTTGTTATAAGAAAACAATGCAGAATAAAAATGTGTGTGTCACAAAATTGAAAAAAAAAAGCAAAAACAAAAAACAGCTCAACATCTATGAGATTATATTTTATACTGGTTAAAGCGTTTTCGGATCAGTTTAAAGTGTGAGTCAATCACAAGTGAAATTTGTTTCCAAAAGCTTATCAGCACGGATGTGTTCAGGTTTTGGGAAGTTGATTACAGACAGGATGTTTTTTTATTTATTTAGCATGTCAGTGTGTCACGTGACAGAGGCCATGCGATCCATGGATCTCCATTGTGTGAAATTCTGCTTTGAAGCCAAACAGTAAAACAACCCTCTCCAGGTTTTTATATGAGGTAGCAGATGTGATGAAGCTGCTTGCTTATGCGTCATGTGCAGAAGACTCACAGTATGAGTCTAAACAAAGCAGAATTTTGTCAGCCACGACAGAGAGATTTTTATTTGGAAGTTGTGAGCAGATATCTGAGCCATGGGGATTATTTCTTGGAAAGGATCAAATCAGAGCAGAATGGGGCCACAGTGGCTGCTGTAGCAACATCGCAGGGTAGGAGTGGGATACTGTGTAAAGTAATTGGCTGTTTAACAATGAGATATTTTTGTTAGCTTTTGCACAGTTTCTGTATTTACCTTAACCAAACTGGATCCTGCATGTTGCCAGTATTTCTTTATAGTTTACAAAAGCTAAGGATTACAAATGCATGTTTTATATTAATATTAATCAGATGAAAATATTTGATTAAAGTTTCTTGAAATAAAATATTTATTGAGTGAAATATGATAAAAAAAGATTTTAAAAGAGAAAGTACAGAGAAATGTTGGGTGGGAATTTTTTGAATGTATATTTATATGATGCTGTTTGAGAAATGACAAACCAATGTTTTTGCCATGTTTAATGTCATTTTTATGCAGTCTTGAATTGTGCAATTAAATTACAATGTGTATTGCTGTCAGTCTTTGTAGCAAATACATTGCTTTTCTTTTTCTTATAAAGGAATAATAGTATATGCAGATGGATAATGATTGAACCAACTGCTACATGTGTTATGAAAGATAATGGAAATAAGTAAATTCACAGTGAAAGTAAAAAAAAAATGAAATTCTGCTAACTTTAAAGAGAAATAACATCTGTTAAAGTAAAAAAAAAAAAAAAATATATATATATATATAGCAGAAGGGAAATTTACTGAGTAATACTTTGAATTAAAACAAAAAGTTTGCAAAAAAATGTGAAAGACTGCTAAGTAGAGACAGATGGATACAGTCCGATGTCCGATTATTTTTTCTTGTATTGGCATCAGTCAATACATGCAATTATTTAATGGATTCAGCAACAAATGTTCTGCGATCTTGTGAAGCAGATGTAATACTGCTCCCTCCATTTGCTAAAAAAATTTAATGTTTTGTTTGATAACTTAAAAAAGGTTTGTTTTACTGTATAATGGAGACCTGTGAAAAATGTCTTATTGTGTCATTTTTGTCATGTAGATGGATAAAAAAAGCTATTTCTGCAACAGGAATCGGCCCCAATTGGCAGCACATATCCAGGATCAGTTAGACTGATTTCATAATAATCTGCAACCTTCAAAAGATGTTAAGCTTAGCTTTTAAAAAAATGTTTATGTTACCTCAATAGCTCAATCTGAATTACACAATTATATGTTTTTTTAATAGACTAAGTTTGACCTTTTAGAAAGACATTAAAAAAATCCTCGGTTGCCTTTAGGAGAGTACTTGGTTGAGGTCTGAGCAGTCAGGAATATGGATCCTTATCCATAACTTTTTGACCCTTCTCTTTGGATCATCCAGAATAATGTTTTCTGTAGGGTTATTTTCGTTCAAATCAGACTGGCGAAAAAAAGTGGTTGTTTCTGGGAAAAATATTGCTCCTCGATTTTATCACACATTGTGGATCATCCTGCTGAAAGACCCATTAACAACTCACTTTCAGTTTCTGCCTACTAGATTTTTACTGGAAAAACTCACATCACAGTGTTTATGATGCAGTCTGACAATGTCCCCACTGTTACAGATCCATTACCATAATAAATAATTAGCTTTGGCTATCTTAACACTTTCAATCTTTCTTATTCGTGTATGCAGACGGACCTTAAAGTCAAGATTAATGTTTGTCAGCTGCAGGAGTGCCAAGGGTGACCGAGCCCTAAAGACCTAATTCTCCAGCCTAATGGATTCCAATACCACTGGTGTCCATCATGAACATGGTCTATTCTGATTACATATCCCCAAACTCCACTGGGAAATAAAAGAAATTCTCCTGGGGGTGTGAAATGAAATTCATTTAGACATCTTCCTCTGCTCAGGTTTCCAGCTCAGCCACCTGCTTTGGTTTACCATGTAGCCGTTTGTCCTGCTGGATCCAATTCAGGTGTTGATTGGTTGAAAGCTCTGCCCCTCTCTACCCAAATTTAGAAGACATAACAATTCGGGTCTGATGTTACAATTAAAAAAATCAGTGATCAAGTTTTGGACTAGTGTGCTTGATATCAGTGCAATTTCATTGAATATGGGTGCTTTATTAAAACTTGGTCATTCTCTGAATTCCACCTTGATAGCCCTTCCAGAATGTAATTTCCCCCAGCTCTACTCCACCCCAAATATTTTCAAATATTTTCTTTACTCTTTCTTCAGTAACGATACTGGGTTTTCCTGCTCAGTAGGTACAAAATGGTTGATTTTAAAATCCTGATGGATATCGGTCCTGTTCAACCTCACACAACAGCTTTGGTTCCTTACCTGACAGGGAAACGACAGTCTATGTCCCAAAAGCCAGATGTGGTCCAGGTTTGCCTTAAACCACATCTGCCCAACAAGGCTCTGGAAATCTGGGCATCTGACTTTTGGAACATGGAATGTTTTCACCTAATAACACCATTTTTATCTCAACTTCTTTATATATGGCTTCTGATTTTCCTTTGCTACTTCAATTTGAAGTTGAATTGGCAGCAGGAATGTAACTTATACAAAAAGAAAACTCCTACGATCGAGTTCTCCTTTCGGGCTTTGTGGGCAGTCTGCCACCTGTGATGAGCATTTTTTGGAATTACTGACATGATCTGAAAATATGGCTTCTGGTGACTTTATTTTGTTTGTCTCTGACAGTACAGTAAGTCCCCCACTGATACTATTATTTATACATGTTCCTCATTTTATTTGTTGACATAACAACTCCCTTTTTGAAGCTAAAAACCTTTGGCTTGGTTTGTGATGTGTGAAAGTGAACTCAAACATAAGAATAACTTAATTTTTGGTTGAAAAAAAGCTTGTTTTATTTTTTGTTGTGAAGCAGTCAGTGAAAGCGAAATGCTTCCCTCTAGTGGTTGTTATTGACAGACAAGCTGTGAAAGTAGATAAAGAGATCATTTATTTTGACATCCTTTGTGAACCACTATCAACCACTGTTTACCTTTCATTGTGATACATTTCTCCTCAATGAGAAGCAGGACTAAAGACCTCAGAGCAAAGTGAAAAACAGGACAATTTTCCATTCAGGCCTCTAACATCTCACCGTCTGAGCTAAATAAGGACACATAAGCTGAGAAAAGCACTAGAACACAGTGACAGGGTTGACCCAGAAAGGGTGCCTTAAAAAAGAAGTGAAGAATTCAGGAAAATGGAATATGGCAGCACACACACATACACCTTGGACTCCATGTATGTGCTGTACTGTCAGAGAAAAAGCTCAAACTCCCCAGGTCAAACTTTGCACAGACAGAAATTACAGTGTGCTTTTTGATGGCAGGCTGTTTTGACATTTATTAGAAGTGCTGTCCTCTCTATTGGTCCATTTTTTGATCTGTAAAATAAGATTCTTCTTACTTGTCAGAAATGTACATATAGATATCCTAAATTACATTTTTGCCGGCAAAAATTTAATTTCAGGATGCCAAAAATATAATAGTACTAGTACGAATGATCTTTCAAATACCTAGACATCTCTACAAATTTTTTCGTGACATTTATTAGCTTAACTGAATTTATATTTCAGATCTCTCAAATGCATTCCTTTCTATTCAAAATATACATGTCAAATATCTAAAATAACATTCTTCCCATCTAAATTATACATCTCAGATATCTTAAATGTAATTCTTACTAGTACAAATGACGTCACGTTTTCCATTCATGTGTATTGGGCTTTTACTTCCAGATATCTAAAATGAACATTCTTCCTATCTAAAACTGAATTCTGATGACGATGAACTCTAATTTCAGATCTTCATAATAAAGTTACTGCTAGTCATAATCACTATTTCAGAAATCAAAAATTAATATAATCTAGATATCCAGAAATCCAATTCTTGACGTCTAAAATGTATTTCTACTAGTAGAAATATAATTACAGATATCAACTATCGATATAGGAAGAGTTAAATTGGAATTTCAGATATCTAATTTTTGATAATGCCTATCCAAAATGCATTTTTAGATACTTAAAAACATATTTTGACTAACATATAAAAAAGAAATGAGACGGTTTTAACATAAAATAAACAGTCTGACTAGTTACATTTCTATTATAGATAGCACTAAAGCATTCTAACTAGTCACAATTACAATGCTCATAGTCAGAATTGTATTTTAGATATCACTAATTACATTTCTAGCAGTAGAAATTAAATTTTAAGTCTGGAATCAAATATGTACTAGTAATAACTACATTTCAGATGTCAAAAAATATTTTTTAAGTGGATGTTTGAACATATATTTCTTTGTTTTTCAGATATCTTTAATAGTATTCTCCCTATCTTAAATGAACATTTCAGATATCTTAAATGTAACTCTTAAGACAAATGCCACTTTTCCCCATTCATGTGTATTGGGCTACTACTTTCAAATATCCAAAATTACATTACTCCTATCAACAACTAAATTGTTCCTGGTACAAATGTAGTTGTAGATATCTGTAAAGACATTTCTACAATTAAAATATATTTTAGATGTCAGAAATAATATTAGTTATCTGCAATGATTTCTTCATTCTTGATAAATAAAAATTATGACCAATAGCAATTGGATTGCAGTGATTTGA